GTTAATTTCTTTCTATTTTTTTTTAGCAGAGATGAGGTCTCGTTCTCACTCAGGGCTGGTCTCGAACTCCTGAGCTCAAACAATCCGCCCACCTCAGCCTCCCAGAGAGCTAGGATTACAGGCGTAAGCCACCGCGCCCGGCCCTTATTCAACTTCTTTAACGGTGATGGTTCAGTTGATTTGTTCTTTTGAGTCAGTTTCATTAACTTATATTTTTCTAGAGAGTTATTTAATTTTGGTTCTTATCTTTATTATTCCCTTCCTTCTGCTATCTTTAGATTTACTCTTTTGTGATTTTCTGGATTATTTCGGGCTTTTTTGGGTCCTAAAAGTTATGTGCCAAACCTATATGGTAACATAAAGAAACACTTTTATAAACCGCTATCCATGCCAGCTCCAAGTTCCCATTCCCCGGGGAAAGGATACCCTGAAGACTTGGGCCTAAGATTCTAACCATAACTGAAATGAAAAGCAGCTAATCAATTGCATGAGAGTGATGTGTAAAGCAATTTTATTTCTAGTAAAAATTCTAACCATAAAATAGTAAGAGCAAATTATGATTACACAAAGGTACTAGAGATCTTGATACATTCAGCTAATACCCACTTCAACATAACCTTGTAACTCTCCTAGCCCCTGCTCACCTTTTCAAACCCTGCTGGAGTAGTATCTTTGTGCAGTGACTACTACTATCTTTCCCTCTTCGACTAGAGAGTGAGTGGAATTAGGGAAGAGTGGTGTAATGTTCACCTCAGAATGTCTTTCACAAGAAGCTATTCAATAATAATATCTGTAGGGCTGGATTTCTGAAACTGAAGGGGAGGGGTCCTCAGACCTATTTAACCACCTGCATAGTCCCCTAGTTGGATGCTGCATAGTCTAGACTGATGTGACTACACAGAGCTATATAGTACTACAAATGTTTTCCAAAGCTAAATGTAAATTATATTTTGATTATCCACATCGCTGGTCCTCTCCATTAGCACAGACAATTGATAGTTGGCTATATAATTTATCTATTATTCTGGATTAGCCACACCACTGATCTTCTTCATTAGTGTGGAAAATCTAGAATTCTTCATCTATGGCAGGGATGAGGCTGCCAAATTTGCTTTACTGTAAATTAAAAATTATCTAAATCTAGATTCCAGGGATAAATTCCAAATGCTTTTAATATATTTCCTATCTACATTAACAGAAGTGATTAGGTAAGCATACAACTATAACTGTTTTTCTTTAAATGTACACACATAAATGCTAAAATTATAACCCTCTGCTTTAAAGAGGTAAGCAAACATAAACTGTATATCTATGTGATTTGTGTGGCAGTAGAACACTTATGTGAATATGTTCCCTAAAAGGTGGTGGCAACAACTGAATGTTGGTAATGAGTAATGCACAGAGCAGTAGAAGATCTAGGGATGATAACTTTGTAAAAGAAGTCTTCTCTAGTTAGGTTTTCAATGTGAGGTCTCTGTCTGTATCACCATACTATGGATTTGATCACACTGGAAACAGCATCCAAATGTCAGTGCTGAGAGATTTCCTGTACAAATTCTTTGCTTTGGAGATAAAGAAACTGGGGACCAAAGAGAAAAAGTGGGTTGCTCAAGTCATGTGGTTAAGTCAGTAACAGAGCAAAAACTAGATCTGAGGATTAGAGCCTCATCCTAGCTTTCATGTTCTGTGCCTTACCCCCATGGTTCCTGCTGCCCTAACATGGAAGAGAAACTTGATCTGTTGATGGACTTTGTCCAGCACTTTTTCTTCTCCCAGCTGGTTTCCTTACAAGATAGGGCTCCAGCCCAAAGGTCCACACCAGCAAAGTGTCATGATTGGAATTCATGAGGTAACCTACAATACTGCCCCATTCTATCACTACCTATTTTGAGGACTCCCACGCCTCTGTATGCCTTCTGCCCTCCTGCCATGGATATGATTTGGTATTAGTTTATCTTCGTTTTTAAGGTGTTAAAAGCCTACCTGGAGACTGAGAATGCATCATCCTTCCATAAGAAATTTCTATTTTCTGTGCCACTGCCTTTCCTCCTCTACCTTAAGATTCCCAAAATATATGGGTTCTGAGCCTATTCTTATTGCATCTTGTCTCTGAGATGAGCTGCTGCTGTTTCATAGTTGTGTGGCAACTGGCTAGGGGACTCATGTCCACCTCACAGCAAGAAGTTTCTTCTGCTTTGATACCTCAGCATCTAGAACACACATAGTTTGGCCCTTTCACTGGGGTTAGGGAATATATTGGCTGGATAAGAAATCTGGGCACTTGTGGGGTAGGTGGGCAAGTCAATGATGCAGTACCTCTGTTTTTCCACTAGTGAATGACAGGGTTTGCATGTTAGTAAAGATTTCACTGAACATGGAACCAGGGAAAACTAGAGAAATAAGTAAAAATCTAAAATCATCATATGACTGTCTCAAAGTAATTATAAGAACTCACGAAAACTGCTACCATACTGTTAACCATTATTATTTGTCCAGCTGATTATAACTGTATTAGTTTTAGTCTAACTTGTTCGTGTCCATTTAAAACAATTAGAGGAATATGCTCTAACTGTTAACTCTGGCAGGGAAGGGAGAAGTAAATCAGTTGAAAATATATTAAGTCATACTTCAGAATGTTTACAAAAAAGTAAGCATTCAGAGTTACATTCTTTTTGAGTTCATTTTTCAAAAACCACTCCGTAACAATAGAATACTTTATGCCCAAATGCCACTCAAACTTACATGTCCATAATGGCCTTTCTGCGCACAGAGGTAGCAATACACTAAGGCTGATGGTCTGGAAGGGGTCTTCGGCTTTTTGGGTGGTCCAGGTTTGGTCTGCAACATGAATATTTGTGAGGTTTGTTAATATAATTAAAACTTCATTGTTTCTGAAAGAGTTCTTTATAGGTAAGGGATTCCTTAGAAATATTGCTTCTTAGAATTTAGTGTGGAGACCCATGTTCAGATGATTCTATATATAAATATGCATAACATGGTAAGAACAGTTCTTTTATTTTTAATGTCAATGTGTGCTTTCCTCTCCTTCCTCCCTCCTTAATCCATTCGGCATTGTGCCAAATTCTGTGTTGGGCGAGTAGAATATGACAGACCTATAAACAGATAATTACAAAAACAATGTCAGCACAGAGATACTAGTATGTATAAGGCATTAATGGAGTGGTGAGGAGGACCCACCAGGAAATGGCGTGAAGGAGGGGTGAGGGAAAGCTTCCCGGAGGGTATAAATTTACTCTCAAAGAATTAGGTATAAGTCAAATGGAGAACCCTAGGCAGAGGAAACAGCATGAGCAATGGCATGAAACTAAAAAAGAGCATACATGCTGCCAAAGTATGATGTAAACAGCCAGGTGTAATGGAAGACAAAGCTGGAGAAAGTAGGGTAAAAGAATGGAGGGACTTATAAGTCATGTCAAGGAGCTTGAGCTTTATTGAGTTTTAAGTATAGAAGTAGAATAGTTAGAGTTGTTACTTTGGAAAAACCATTTTGGCTTGTAGCTATAAGGAGGGTAAATATGAGCAGGAGAAGCTCAGATGCAGCGAAAAAGACCAATGAGGTGGCTGTTAGAAATTGCAGGTGAGGTATGAGGGTCTTAACTACAAGAGTCACAAGGAAAGGGAAAAGTGAACAGATTTGGGAAAAATATCAGAAAATAAAACTGGTTTCACTTGGTCATTGAAAAGATTTGGCAAATGAGGAAAAGAAGAAATCAGGATGCCTTCCAGGCTTTTAACCAGAGTGAACTAGTGGGCAATGGTGACAAACAATTGATTCAGAAAGGTAAGAAAAGGAGGAGGAGCCAGTTCAGAGGGAAAGGTGATGAAGTCTGTCTTAGATGTTTAGTATCTAGGGGGAGATGTCCAACAGGCAGTTGTCTATGTAGGATTAGAGCTCAGGGAACATGTCTGAGCTGAAGAATACATCTGAAAGTAATCTGCATAATAGTGAAGGCTGAAATGACTACAGTGGACAGGACTGCCACAGATGGTGTAAGAGTGGCAGTGGGCTAAGAACTGAACCCATCAACATCTAAGGGGCAGGCTGAGGAACCTGTGAAAGGGACAGAGAGGGAAGGGTTAAAGGATGCAGAGACATAGGAGAACATAGTGACAGACCTTAAAGAGTAGTTTCAAGAAGGATGAACTGATCTATTATACCATGTCAAATATGGCAGAGAGGACTAGTGAGATTAGGGCCCAGAAACATCCATTAGAAGTGGCAACTGTTTACAGATAACCTTATTGTGAGAATTTTGAAGTCTTCTAGGAAGAGTAGAAGGCAGTAGGTTGAAGAGTGAGACAATGCATACAAAGGTGGCAAAACTATAAAGAAGAAACAAAGAAATCATTACTCATAAAATCCAGGATGATGGTTGTTTTCAGCGGGGAGAGAATAGCACACATGAGGGTTTTGGCATAGCTGCAATTTTCAATTTCTTGAACATGGTCATAGTTACTTGGGTGTGTGTTATATAAATAATTTATTTATTTGTACACATATATTTTATGCATCTTTCAATATATATACTATATTTTACAATAAAAAATGTTAAGATGAGGCAGTACCTAGGAGAGGGATTTGGTGGAGTCTGTTTTTACAATAGGAAAGATCTGAGCATGTGAGAAAGCTGTTAGAGATGGAGAAATTGAAAACAGAGAGAAAGGAGACAATGGATAAAGCAAGACTCCTGAGGAGGCAGTGGCTTTAAACAGGAGGAGAAAAACCTAATCCCTGTACCCCGTATCCTTTTTGGAGATTGGAAGAAAAGAGGCAAGGATGGGCATAAACTTGGATCAATTTATTTCTTATGTTCTTTATTGGGACCCTTTAACAAGGAGTGCTAGTCTGCCGGCCAATTTTGTTGTTTAATGTTGCAAACAGGTGGCATGTGAAGGTTTTACTTCCCTGACACAGGAAAATAATAAACAGGTTAGAAAAATCTTCTTCAAACAACTTTACTTTCAGCTCCTATTCCCTAGAATGGAAAATTGGAGGAAAACAATAACCTGAACCATTTTTCAACTGAAAACAATCACAAAATGGAGTTTACAACGTCAGCTATTATCAGTTGGGACATAATAAAAAATGCAAATAACAAATGTCTTATATTCTCCAATTATAAATGTGGTCTGTAAATTAAGACTAATTTAAAAATCATTAAACAGAGTTTTAACAAATATGCATGTAAGCCATGTATGATTCACTGCAGTGGTTCACAAATTTCTTCAGGTAGTAGAGCACTGGGATGACATAAAATTATTAAGCAGAAATGATTTTTCCACCTGCAAAGATAACTACATTATTTGCTGTGACATAAAATTACAGCCATAAGCATATATGGTTTAAGGGAAAGAAATAAAACCAAAAGAGATCATGTCATGGATGTGAAGGAAGAACAGATGATGCTTCAAGGAAGAAACTGTTAAAAGCCACTAATGGGTTACATAAGATGAGGACCATGAAATTCACTGGACTTAGCAATCAGGAAGTTGTTGGCAAGTAGAAACTGTTGTGAGCAGTTTCTGTTGAGGGGCAGAATCACAAGCCAGATTTTAACAGGTTTACTGTAAGTAGAAAGATTTTGAGGAACAGAACATAGATGACTTTTCCAAGAAACTAGGCTGTGTATGGAAGTAAGGAAGGGGACAAGTAGAGCAGAATACAAGTCTAAGGAAGCCTCCATTACTGATGTTTACCAGAGTGGTGGGCATGTGGCATTAATATATGCATGCATTCTTTCAGTAATTTGTTCAAAAACTAATTACTGAGTGCCTAATATATGCCAGGCACTATTCTGAGACCAGGTGACTGAGAAGTGAGCGAGACAAAAATCACTGCTCACATCTCTAGTGGCAGAAGATAAACAAATAGAACCAAGAAACTACACAAAATATTAGATAGTGATAAAATGAGTTATGTGAATGTGAGTCACTGGTGGTGACTTAGATTGAGTTGTTGGGGAAATGGGGGTGGTCCTTTCTTGCTTTTTTTTTAGACAGTCTCACTCTGTTGCCTGGGCTAGAGTACCCTGGCATTAGCCTAGCTCACAGCAACCTCAAACTCCTGGGCTCAAGCAATCCTCCTGCCTCAGCCTCCGAGTAGCTGGGACTACAGGGGCATGCCACCACACCTGGCTAATTTTTTTTTATTTTTAGTAGAGGCAGGGTCTTGCTCTTGCTTGGGCTGGTCCTGAACTCCTGACCTCAGGTGATCATCCCACCTCAACCTCCCAGAGTGCTAGGATTATAAGTGTGAGCCACTGTGCCCAGTGATCCTTTCTTATAACAAGAAAAACCAGGTATGTCTGGAGAAACACCATTCTTGGCATCAGGCATAGGGAAAAGGTAGCACGAAGCTCTGAGGCAGGAACAAGTTTACCATATTTGAGAATTTGAAAAAATATCTGTATGGAAGTGTAGTTGGCAAAGGAAGGTGATGATCTACAGGATGGGGAGGGATCAGATCACTTAGGGCTTTATAAATCAGGGTGAAGGACACTGGATTTATTTTATGTGGCATGCGAAATCAATGAAGGGTTTGAAGCTAATGCTAGGTGTTCAATAACTAGTTGGTGACCATTAGCAGGAACTGTAACTGGTGACAAAAGTAATAATCTGCCCCTAAAATAATAAATGCTCTCTGAAAAAGTTAATTATCTGTGTTCATAATTTTTGTTTGTGCAAATATAAGACATAGTTTATCTTTGAGGCAAGATTTCTAGCTTTATTAATAAGAATAAAAATATGCTATGTTTATTTCTCTGGAATAAGAGATTTTATTGGCTCGAATCCTATGGAAAAGTACAAGATGAACCAGGAAATAATGATGAGGAGGGCTGATGAGAACCAAATTAATAAGGATATACAGTCCCTTGACTTGATTGGTAGGGATACTAGTAGAGACTTCCCCATAAGAATGTCCACTTGTACCCCCATGGCACTTCTGGCTTCTCCTTAGGAGTACAGAACACCAAGAAAGTCACACTACTAAATAACTCCCCAGATGTTCATTCTTATCACCTCCTCTCAGAGTAGATCTACCTTTCCCTCCTTTATTTCCTATGTTTTTTAATAGCACCTATCACCTTTAGTGTACTAAATTGGTTATTATGTTTATTATCTGGTGCCCCATTGCTAGCATGTAAGCTGCATGAGGGCAGGGATCTTTATTCAGTCTACTTCACATCCCTATGTCAAGAACCTATAATAGGGGTTGTCAAACCATGCCCCATAGGCCAAATCTGGCCTAGTGCCTGTTTTTGTATGGCCCACAAAGTAAGAATGGTTTTTACATTTTTAAAGAGTTAAATAATAATGATAAAGAATATTTTGTAATATGTGAAAATTACGTGAAATTCAAATTTCAGTGTCTGTAAATAAAGTTTTATTGGAACACAGGCATACACATTAGTTTACAGATTATCTGTGATTGATTTCATGCTACAAGGGCAGAGTTATGAAAGAGAGCATATAGCCTACCAAGCTAAAATATTTCTATCTGGCTCCTTACAGAAAAAGTTTGCTAACCCCTGACCTAGAACACAGGAAGTGCTAAACAAATAAATAAATAAATAGGTGACGAATGAGCAGATGTTAAAGACTTCAGCCAATAAAGGTGTGTCAAGTAGGTACAAACACTGAAAATCTCTGCTACTGATTGAGAACATGAAGCAAAAGTTTTAGGGAATTTCTCTGAATTTAGTTATCTTATTGCCTAAGTCTGAGGAAATACCAAGTAGTTTTAATGTATTTATCCCTTAGTAGGAATTATTCATTCAAAAAGGTTATTGAGTTCCTACTTCGTACAGATTGTAAGA